TGGTTGGCTTTATGCCTTTGACAACTATGTAAGTTTAAAAAGAGCTAAAGCTCTAAATTCTTTTTAGAAACAATGAACAGTACATATATGTAAATTTTTTAAAAATATGCTCGGTATATTGTATATATGTATTTACATGCAATATATTGTATGTGTGCAGTCAAATTGTAACAATTCTACCTAATAAAACTAAAAAATGAAAAAATTAAAATATCACAAAGGTCTGACAGAAGTCACATTTTCAAGGATTTTTCCTCACACATAAACTGTTGATAACTGAATTTGCATGTGATTAATCTTCCCGAATGAAAAATAGAAGGAAAAAAGTTTTAAAAAATAGTGCCAGGCACAATTTTCAGCACCTCATATTAATAAACTCATTTACTTTTTACAACAACCTTAAGGGGTAGACATTTCTAATATCAGTATTTCATAGATGAGGACACTGAGGTATGGAAAGACTTTAAAACTTGTCTAAGGTCACAAAACTATTTAAGTAGCACAGTCAAGATTCAAACCTAGGAAGTATGGCTCCGAAGTCCACACTCTTCAAAAGCATCCAAAGCAATGCCATGTACTACTCATGTATACAGTTGATTAAAAGTTAAATTGGAAGGATATACAACAAATTCATCACAACAGGTGCCTCTGGGAGGGGATATATCAGGAGAGAGGGAAAGAGGATAAAACTGGGGAGAACAAAAGGGACTTTAATTTGATCAACAATGTTCAAGTATAAAGCCCTATGCTGCTCTTTTAGAATTCAGTGTGATACCTATGATACACATAGTTCTTTTATAATAAATATATCTCAAGCAAAAAATTTTTAACGTCAACATTTTGTATGGAGGGTACGTACACTGTTTACCACTTAACTGTAATTTTCTGTATTTTTCAAACATGAAAAATATTACATATAGAGGAGACTTTTCAAAAATATTACATTATAAGAGATACATATATCTCCTCTATAAAATATTATAAGAAAAATAAACAGAAATTTAAGAAATTTCCAATCTCCGTATTTCAGCTCTTACTTGGAAATGAAAACAGCTAAACTGTGAGTTAATGTGTATATACACACATTTACATATGGAAAATGCATTTTTACATGACTCAAAAGAGATATACTGAAAGTATGCCAGAAACAGTAACTCTTACTGTACCATTTTGATGACTCACCATTCTCAGTGAAAGTGAAGTACATATAGCACCAGCAGGAAAACGCTTGAGAGCTTCCTACCTCTTTTTTCTGCTCCTTTCTATCTGTTTGTGCTTTCTAAAAGAGGGAAGCAAGAAGGTACCAAGGAATTGTCACATACTTTAAAAAAATAACAGTAACAGCCATAGATGAACATATAAGCAGCCCTTCAGAACGTAAGATTCCCATACAATCAAGAAGTGTTCCAAAAATGTATTTGCAAATTGATTGTCTGGAAATCAGAACATATCTTCCCCTAAAGAGAGTTAAAAGAGCATGTGAGCACCAGGAAAAAGACACTGCCTGAGGTGCCAGGGCATGAGCCGTGAGACAGGAAAAGCAGAGTCACAATATGTACTGATGACACAAGAAGAAAAGCGTTCTCTGCCAGAGTTTGAGGTTAGAAGCCACGTTACATTCATTCACCTTTGTATCCTAGGTGACTTAGCAAAGCACCTGGCACCTTATAAACATTCAAAAACCGCAGCTTCTGCTGATGAGGTAATGAGGGAAAGTCTGAGGCAAGCAGTTCATCAATAGGTGGCACTGTCAATACAGAACAGCTGGGGTGTAAGACGAACAGAGGTTGGAAAGTAACAATGTGGATTAACAGGTGCATCCACATATATAAAATATTAGCAGGCTGGTGTGCTAACTACGAGAATGTCTTCACCTAAATTATTAGCAGTTTCCATTACTGTGTATATCGCATAATGTATCACAAAGTAGTTCCTCAGTTGGAGCAGAGGTTATGTGGGATTTTTAGGATTTTCTCCTGGGATGAAAATATTTTGATGCCATTTTTGTGATTACTAGAGTAATACTATTCAGAAAACAGAAGAGAGAAAAGTAAAAAAAAAAAGCATAAGCACTAAAATAAGGATTATCTATAATCTTATCATCGAGAAAACATCTTTTAATATATTCTGTATTTTCTGCCAATCATTTTGTCATATATGAGATTTATTATAAATAATAACATAGTATATAATTCCTCATGTTCTGATTTTACCCTCAACATTATACTGTGCTTTCTCATGTTAGTAAATATTTTTTAAAATATGACTTCTAACAACTGCATTCACCCCACTGATTGACCATCATTAATTCCACGAATCCTCTATTACATGGCATTGTAATTATTACAAATTTTCACTACTATGTTACTACATTATATAAATTAATCCTTTCTTATGTATAAAGTTCTACATTGCTGTTTTAGAATTCAAGGTGCTAATTACGATACACAGTAATTATGATACACAGTGTGGAATGCTTGACTTCCCCCCAACCCACAATTCTACTTGGCACTAATCAATAGAACGCTGAACAAACAAACAAGCAAGCAAGCAAGAAATTTTTTTTTTAGGAAAGAAATTTTTATCAACTGTACTTCAGTCATTCTCTTCATCTACATCTGGTAGGAAAGAGGAAAGTCCTAAAAGACAAGTCTCTGATATCAGAGAAGACAAGAATTACAAGCCAATTTTCCTGCTAGAGTCACTTCTGTTTTCCACTTAGAATAATGAGCCATTAACTTAAATAGGAATAAATAAGATTTATAATATACCAAACATCTCTATTTGTATTGGTGCTTAAATCCAGGTTTTCAGAGTAAGGAGACCACTTAGAGAAATTCTGCAAACAAAAAAGATAATGTAACTAATATTACTCAATGAGAAAACAGTAAGTTTTCTTTTATAATTCTGCCATGGCTTTTATTATTGTTTGAATTAATTAGAAAATATCATGTATTCTATCTCTTTCTTCTTACAGCCTCCCAATTATCCCGAATTTTATTCAAGTTGCCATAAATAGGCCAACAGCTCCAGGAGCTTAAGAATCAATAACTATTTAAGCCAGTGGTTATTCATGTGGAAAAGTTCAGAACAAATCAGCATCAACTGCCTGGCTCTCGTGCACAAACGAAAAATTGGCATCGCTTCACCAATTTTCAAAAGTGTAAATTCGTGTACATAAATGTAAAACTCTAAATTTTTCCTTCACTTGTTGAAGTGAAGGCCAAATTTCACGTATATTTATTCCCAGAACTGGGCTGATGTCAAGATCAACCGACTTTCCTAACAAGTAGTTTCTTATAAAATTCCACAATGAAGTTAAATCTGTGTCTAAGCATTCAGGAAAAGAAAATCATGTAACAATATAGTATATGCAGTGATGATGATGATGATGATATCAGCTATTCCAGACTCCTACTGACAGCTTGCAGTCCAAAGGGAAAATGTGAAAATGAAGTAAAAGTTACCCCAAAAGTTTAATTCTGGCCAAAATAAAACGAAGTTCAGATAAAAAGAAGCCAAATAAAATCTTTTGTTTCATTCTAAGTTCAAACAGGGTTCAAATAGCTCAGAAATTATGTATACTTAGGTTTTCAAGAACTGAATCCCAGGATCTACTCTAAACATAAACTGAATAACTTGCCCAAGAGCCCTTACTTATTACCCAATTTTAGGTTCCCCAGAGACGACTTTTTACGATAATCTCAAATGTACTACAATAAATTAGTGTAACCTGGGCTACACTGTTTACAGGTGTCTGCATCTCCTTCCCCCAAGAGGAGAGAAGAGGGCAAGCAGAAAACAGACTATATACACCCAACAACAGCTTGTAATCTTGTAAAATTGCTCCTTTTACACTTGGACCATGATTTTCCTTAACGGGTAGAATTTTAAAGAATAACATATTCACGGAGTAATACAATTTCTGCCCTCACGAGACTCCAGCTAGCTGACACGCGTTTTCTCCTCTAATAAATACATGCCTGTCCTGCTGTTGCAAACAAGAAATAACTGTCCTATAAGACAAAAACCCTTCTCTGAGTCTCCAGGCGTAACCATACGTTTGAATTAAAGCCACACTGGAACAATAACAAAAATCTTCCAGCACATCTGTCATTTAAAAGCACGATAATGAAAAGCCGTCACTGCGACCCAGTTTTAGGTCACAAGCTTTTTTCCCTCCTCCCCCTAGAAAGCGATAAACTTCAAAGGGAATGGTGGCGACCAAGAATTGTTTATCCCCCGCCCCCCCACCCCCAAAAAAGACGGGGGTAAAAAAAAACTGGCCAACTTGGACACTGACCAGGCTCACGGTGGCCAGAGTAGGCTATGCAGACCCCTGGGAGGAGAATCGGGCTTCTGGGGGCCCGCCGGGCTCCCGCTGCCGCCTGTTTAAAACATTGAGCAGGTGGGATTCCGGGAGGCCACCTCCGTCTTACGTAACGGGCTTGTCAAAATCCCAGCTCCAGGACCTCCCTTCTCACCGCCCCCGCCCCCACCCCCACCTCCCAACAAGAGCCCCAGGCCAGCCTGGAATAGAAAATCCGGAATGAAAACACAGGAGCCCCTCAAGCATCCGATGCAGAGGCGCCCGTGCTACTCTCAGCACCATCGCGCCAGCCGGAGCGGACCCAGCTCGCGGAGAACGGCCAGGCTCCGAGAAGCCCCCGGGCGGAGGTCGCGGCCATCCGCGCCACCTCTCCGAGCCCTGCCGACCCCGCTCCCGCGCCCACGGCTGTCACTACTCCGGGCAGTGACAGCTCCACATGCCACCGCTGTCCGCGCCGCCGCCCCCGCACTTACCTCACCGCTGGCTCCGGCGCGAACAGCGGGTCCAGGTTTGAGAGCGGTGCCGGGTCCACTCACGAGCGGCGGCAGGACACGAGGGGCTGAATGCCGCGGCGCTCCGAACCCGCTTAGCTCATCCCTA